GCAGCCCCCTCCCTGCTCCTGCCCAGCTGGACATGGACAGTGCTCCGGGCCCACTCGGGGCTCTGCCTGCTGTGTCTCGCTGGAGCCCGAGTCCCCAGCCTCTCCCACGCCATGACAGGCGCATGAGCAGGGCCAGCGCGGGGCCGGGTGGAGCGAAGCTGGGGACACCGCAGCCTCCGCTGCCCCTTGGCAGCCCCCTTGCGGGGTCCATGGGGCCCTCCTGGAGCCGGAGTCTGGGACAGTGCCCAGCTGTACGGGGCCTCCTTCCCGGAGCAGCTTTAGACGCTACCTCAGCCCTCGGAGACGACTCTGGCACAGGAGGCAGAAGGGCCCCCGCCCAGTCCGGCTGCCCCACACAGGCAGGGTGCGGCCCAGAGCTCAGGGACAGGCTGCGAGGGAGCCTTCGCGCTGCACACCAGGGAGGGGCCCGGGCCTGTGTGTCTCCCTGGGCCTGGCTCTGTGTGGCAGCACCCTGTGTCCCCGGTGTCCCCAGCAGAGGACCCTGCGTTCACTTTGGTCTCTGAGCCCTCAGGATGAAGCACTGTCTTGTCGTAGCTGCTCGGCACACAACGGCCGCGTGGACTGAAGCCGACTCGGGCTGCGGGGTGGGCAGTGAGCAGGCGGGACCCCAACTGCCTGGCACCCAGAAGGTGGACACAGGGCCCACAGCCTCACCACCAGCCCCATCCACACCGTGCCCAGACGCTTGTCCCCACCACACAGCCCCAGGTACTCAGGGCAGGGCCAGCGTGTGTCCCTGGGACCACAGGGTGGCCGGCAGCAGAGGACCAGATTCCGGGAGCCGGCCGGGGCCTGTGCAGTGGACTCACCTGGCCGCTGCAGTTCTCCTCCTATCCACGGGGCTGTGGTCGGCACCCTGGTCCCTAAGCCAGGAGAGGAGTCTGAGACCGTGCGATGGCCCGATCCAGTCTGCAGACAGGGAGCTGTCTTCCTGCTCTGACCGCCACAGACAGCATCGCCCCGGCCAGAGCAGCCGTGCTAATTACACAGATCCAGGAGCCGACACCGACAGGGTGTCACACGCGCTGCTCTCACAGGGCCCGCTCGGCCGGCCAGCACTGCCTGAGTGGCTGCTGCGCTCAGCGAGGAGCTTGAGGTGGCGGGGAGCCCCTCAGGAGGGGAGCCCTCGGGGCCACCCGGGCCTCCCCGCAAGGAAAAGGCGCAGCAGCGGACTTTGCTTCCGGCCCAGGTTCCGACCCCCACCCTGCTCCGGCCAGCGGGGCGAGAGGCAGAGCCAGCCCAGCCTGTGCACCTCGGCGGCCGAGCGCCGGCTGGAGAGGAGTCTGGGCCGAGCGAGCAAAGCCCGGCGCTCCTCCACACGGCGCCGTGTGCCCGGGAGGAGAGCACGGGAGCGGCCAGGCACCCTCCCCAAGGGCCCCTGTGCTGACAGCAGCCGGTGAGCGCCCTCCCGGAGCTGGCGGAGCAGCCTGGCTGGGGAGGAGCCGTCCGGAGCTGGCGGAGCAGCCTGGCTGGGGAGGAGCCGTCCGGTCCGTCCGCCGTCCGCGCGCTTCGTCTCCATTCTGGAGCGCGTCTGTGGCGTGGAGGGGACTGAGGAAGGGGGAGGCTGAGGCCCAGAGGGAGCACACGGCTCCCCAGGCCGCATGCCTCGTCCTGGCCGCTTTCCCACCTGGCGCTTCTTTCCGGCTGTGTCCGGGCCTGCGCGGAGGCCACCAGACAGGAGGCCCGGTGTCCCCAGCGACAGCTGTGAGAAGCGCAGCCCCAGAGGCCTAGCGCACTGCTGAGGCCCCGGCCCCCCAGGGCGGCCGCATAAAGACCCTCCTCCAGGCCCCCCCCCCCCGGCCCACGCCCCGCCCACCCACAGGTCCCCACTGCCGTCGGCACGCAGACCACGCTGCTGCCACTCAGGAAGGGACGCGTGGGCTGCTGCCTAGGTGTCGCCCTCCCCAGCCACCTCTGGCCACTCAGCCTCCCCAACACACACGCACACACACACATATGCACGTGCGCACATGCATACACACACATGCACACACACATGCACACACACACGCACACAACACACACAGCACGCATACACACACATGCATGCACACACACACACACCGGCCAAGGAAGCCAGGAAGTTTGCTGTCCTCCATCCGCTTCTGTCTCCGAGCTTGGACACAACCCTGCATCTTACAGCCTGAGCGGAACCAGCCAGGCCCGGGCAGTTCCCTCCACCCCCGCCTCCCTCCCACCAGGCCCTGCCCCTCAGTCCCCAGGACAGCGCACCCAGCAGCGGTGACAGCAGAGAGCCAGCCCCCAGCAGGCAGGGCAGCCAGGTCCCTTAGCCATGCGGTCCCTGCATCACCCGGGAATCCGGGAGACGCTGGCTGCTGCCGGAGCGGACAGCTGACTTCTGTGGGGAGCTTTAGGTGGCTTGGGGACAGCCTGCGGGTGGAGGGACAAGGGCAGGCACAGCATGCTGTCTCCGTCCGTCCCCAGGTCCTTGGGCAGGGCCTCCCACTCTTCTGTACACAGAGCAGCCCTTGGCGACACCTGCAGCACAGGCGGGTCCCTACCGCACCATGGGAAAGTGCAGAGCAGAACCCTTGTGCCGGAGCAGAAAAGCCCCACCAGCCAGACTCAGAAAGACCTCGGGCTTACCACACCCCAAAAGCAGGTGGACTCATTCTTTGTCCCCGAGAATCCCAGAGCAGGTTTCCCCTGCACCAGCCCTCTTGGTGTTTGGGGTCCAATCATCCTTCCTGCTGGACACTAGAACATCTGGCGGCAGATCTGCCTCTGTCACCGGCAGCTGTGGGCACCAAAACAGGACCCAGACAGAGCTGAGTGTTCCAGGGTAAAAAGGCCACCCCAGTTTAAAACCACTGAGATGGAGGGATTCAGAGGAGGACTGCAGGTGGGGCGGGGGCTCCGAGGGACAAGGGGCAGCCAGGAACGGAGCTCAGGGCTCCAGGTGGCTCCTGTCCCTGGTCGGAGCCCCTAGGACTTGACAGAGGCAGAACGTGTCTGCTGCACTTTGCCGTTCTCAGTGAGCACATTTGCCGGCGGCAGTGGGTGCCCCTTGTGGTGGCTGGCACGTGTGCACAGCCTCTGAATTCTTCACACATCCTCTCCCGCCACTGGCCAAACATCCGTCTCCATATTTCCTACCATCTTTCACTTAGCTCTCTAAATCATTTGTACTTGGGCTGCTCACGTGAGAGAAGCCATGCTATTCGAGCTCATGGGTCTGATGCAGTTCACGTAGGGTTACTGCTGCTGAAATAACCACTCCGACCTGGGAGCCCTTGCTGCTCCCGGCCCAGCCCTGGCCCGAGTTGCAGCCGCCATCCCCAGGTAGGTGCAGCGTGACTTAGGCTGGCTCATCCTTTAGGACCCGAAGGGCAGCCACAGCCCAGAACTGGCTGTCACTCAGCTGCCCCTGCCGTGACAGCCCCGAGAGGATCAGAGAAGGACAGGGTCGCTCTGGCTCGTCTCAGAGGCTGCAGTCCACGGTCAGGGGCCCCGCTGCTTCGGACCAAGCCTTCCACACTGGGGGCTGGGGACCTCCGGACCTGACCCCGCAAGGATACTCAGAGCCCGGCGCCCCTCGCTGCCCGGTTCCCTGCCCCATGTGGCTGCACCTGGACAAGGCGCATCTCAGTGCCGCTCTCTGGGGAGAGGAGGGCTGCTGGGCTCACGGGACCCCTGCAGCTCCCTTCCATCACCACCTGGTGAGCAGTGCCCCTGCAGCAGGGGGCAGACAGGTCCTCCCAGGGGTCCTTTGCACCCAGCTGGCTGGACACCGAGGGAGCATGCCAAGACTCAAGGTGGCCGAGCCACGGATGGAAGGTGCATGGGCCCTGAATGGTGAGCAGGAGGCTGCTAGGCTGCATCCACGCGCAGGACTTGGGTGCCCATCCCGGCAGCAGCATCACCTCCAGGAACGGGAGCTCGGTGGCCCTGCATGGGGACAGCGGAGGCCCCAGCGCAGAGGTGAACAGCCAGTCCTGCTGTGCTGGGACGCGGGCCCCGTCCGCAGAGTCCCCTCGGCCCTGAAGGCCGGCTGGTCAGCGCCTGCACCACGGAGCCCCTCTGGGGAGAAGGCGGCCTCCCCGCCTCTCACGGGGCTGGCGCGTCCTCTGCCCCAGCCAGTTGTCCCTGGAGGAGCCACCAGGTCCCCAGCCCCAGTGCCGCCTGCATCCACTCTGAGACCCGGACAAGGGACTCGGGCTCCTCGCTGCTTTGACATCAGCCGTGGTCCCGAGTGACCACGTGCTGGACAGAGAACTCAGTCAGTGACGAGCGGCAGCCCAAGCCGGGTCCTGGTGTGCCAGGCGCTGTCCCGCGTGCCCTGCCATGAGCCACGCAGCCGGTGCCGGGGAACCGCGGGCCCAGTCTGCCCCACTGGCCCTGCACATGCGGCTCCCGGCTCCTGCTGCCACTCAGAGCTGACGACCACCTCCCCCTCACCACGCTGCCATCAAGCCAGAGGCCACGGGCATCGTGCCTAGAACGAGTGGTGGCTTCCCCGCCTCAGCCACTCCTGTGGCCATGCAGTCCCCTTGCTAGCTCCCGGGGCTGGAGCAGACTGAACGCTGTTTGCTGATCATCTACTATGTGCTGCGTGTTGAGCAGGAAGAATCGGTAAATCAGCACCTGCCCTTTGGAGATCTGCCAGGCAATACCTGTGATCAAAGCTCTCCCCCTCCTGGAGCTCTGACCCTCCAGCTGCACAGCACTGGCGCTGTTTCCGAGCTTCAGGCTCCCTTCTGAGGGTTGCCTGGCTTCCCAACCAGTCCAGACACGGGGGTTTCAGTCCGGTCTATACATCAGTCTCTGTGAGTCTGGCTAATGTGAGTCTGCACTGAGAGACCAGCATTCTTGGCAGGCTGACACAAGCACACGGTCCTGGGGCTGAGCCAGGAAGAGGGGCTGTCACAATCATTGTGAGAAGCCCCCGGGGTCCTCTGAGCCCTTCCCTTCTTATCACTGTAGCTGTCGCAGACTGGTCACGGGCACCCACGCAGGTCACCCAGGAGCGAGTGCAGAAGCCCTCAGCCTCTGCTCCGGACGGGCCGGCCTGCACCCACAGCCCCTCGAGGCGTCTGGCCTAGAGCATGGAGCTGGTAAGTGGCTGATTTAGAGCTTCAAGGAAACCCAGAAGGTTAATTAAGGGAGAGCAGCTTTAACGGCCAGAACCGTGGGCGAGAGGATTTGGTGCTCTGTGCTCAGTGAGTGTGTTTAACTCAATTACTTCTAATTCTCTGTCGAGTAACTCAGTAGAGAGTTTTGCAATAATTAACTTACTCTAAAAAATAAAGTTGCAGATAAAGCCTAAGCCAAAAGCTAAGGCAAGCCTGAGGGACAGTGCACAGATCTGTACGCTGAGCCCACGGGGGTCCACGCAGCCCAGGGACAGAGGAGGAGAGGAGCCACTGCCGTGCGCTGTCACCTCCCGGCCAGCAACCTGGGCAGGAAGTGCGGGCCAGCGCCCACGGAAGGCGCATCAGAGAACAGGGCCAGTGCCAGGGACAGCAGGGAGGCCAACGGGGCCAGCGCAGAGGGACACACGTGCTCCTTCTGAGTGACCTGGGACACCACCCAGGGCTCCGAGTGCCCTTGCTTGTGCCGACCGTGGTGGCTGGAGAACGGCGGCCCGTGGTGAGGAGGTGAGGCAGGACAGACAGGTGGTGCTGGGTCCCTGCCGCGGGTGGAGAGGAGCAACCAGCTCAGAGACGCCCAGGGTGCAGCAGTGGGGGACAAGACGGATGAACGCCGCTCGCTGTCCAGTCTGCAAAGGGACAGAGGGCCCAGACTGCCCCTGCCTGTCCTCCCGACTCAGGGTCGCATGGAGACGCCCTGGGGACAGCGAGGCTGAGGTCCTCTGTGGTGGCCCGAGCTCAGGCAGTCTTCATGGCTCACACCGCGCTGCTGTTCTGCAGAAGAATGGACGCCCGAGTCCCCCCAGGGACCTGCAAGAAGCCCTGTGGGACCTGTCGGAGAGAGTTGCTCGGGCGTGTCCCTGTCCTACTAGGAGCCTGAGGGCGCGGGTGGCAGGGACAGGACTCTGAGCACACAGAGCAGGGCCGCCAGGGCGAGGCCAGCTCCCCTGAAGTGCTGTTGGGAGGAGGCAGAAACCCCAGCAGCACAGGACAGCGTGTCCAGGCTGGGCCGTGGGGCACTGTGCTCCAGGCTCTGTCCGGAGTCTCTGCTGTGGCCCGCTCTCCCCAGGCGGCCTCGCCCAGCTCTGCACGCTGCCCGGCCCCATGCCTGTGCCGGAAGGGAGCAGGCAGAGCCTTCCCGGGTGCTGGGCCAGGAGCCGCCAGCCTGCTCTGCGACAGCTGCTGCCGAGTCCGCACCTTGCCCTGCTCGGGTCCCTCTGGACACAGGCAGCTCCCAGTCCGATCCAGAGGCGCCCACTGGGTGCTGGGGCCCGGCGCCCTCTGCGCTGCGGACCTGCTGCTGGGAAGCGGTCCTCACGGGGTGTATGAGCCCCACGCAGCACTAAGGACGCCGCAGCTCCTGGCCAGCAGCCCAGGGATGGAGCCAACCTGGCCATGGGGCCTGGAGGGGTCCGCAGTGCCGCCCCAGTGGGGAGGAAACATGCGGAGAAACTGAATGGGACGTTACTGGGTGTTGGGCCTTCGGGATGCTTTGGGTTGAGACTGGGCCCTGAATCAACCGTACACGGAGCACTGGGAGAGCCAAGAGAGAGAGGTGCCTCGGCCTCAGGGCTGCAAGAACGCTCAGCCTCCCCCAGCAGGCCCCTGTCGCTTGCGCTTGCGTGTGACTGTCCCTCCTCTCCCTCCCTCCCTCTCCTTCCTCTCTGCCTGTCCCCCAGATCCTGAGAACGAGACCCTTTCCTGACACCACCCAGGAGCCATGGGACTGCAGGGGGCTTTGCCGGCCCAGCCTGCTCCTGCCCCTGGGAGGAAGGGACAGACTCCGGCCGCCTGTGAGTTCTGAGGGAGGCGACATGGGCCTCAGAGGGCTGTGCGGTGACACCCCTGTCCTGACTCCCCATCACCTCCCACCAGCACCCCGCAAGGCAGCGTGCTGGGGTCCCGTCCCCACAGCAGGTGAGGGGTGCACATCTGAGCCCGGGGCCTGAGCAGAGGACAAGAGGAGCATTTGATGTGTGGGAGGGACCCCAAGCCCGCTCCCCACTCTGTCCACTCTGTCGCTTTCTCCACATCAGCTGGGGGTCCCCGGGTCCGACGATGTCCCTGGTCCTTCTCGTGGGGTGAGGGCCCAGGCCCTGCCCTCAGGATGCAGACCCCACAGTCACTTCCAAGCCTCACACCCCTTTACCCCACCGCCTTCAGAGAGCGGCTTCCCAGGCCGCCCGGAAAGCCTGCTCCTCAGGCACGCAGAGCAGAGCACCTGCTTGCTGTGTCGGCACCGGGCAGCGCGAAAGTGTGCAGGCCTGCAGCTCAAAAAGAGCTGCTCCTGCCCTTCCGCAAGGGCGTCAGGGCACGGGACAGATCACTCTGGGCCCTTGGCCCCGCTGGCCTCCAAGCCGATGGCTGCCCTGCTGCTCCTGGGTCAGGCCTGAGGCTGAGCCTCTTCCAGCTGCTCCCTCACCTCCCCAGGGCCCTTCACAGGCCCCTGTGCTTCCCGGATCCCTCTCTGAGGGCCAGACTCACTTCACCTCTACACGCCCTGCTGCCTGGATCCACGCCTGCCTTTGGGGTGGAAGAAGAGACTCGGACTCCGGAGACCGAGCTGAAGGGACGGTGGGCGTGCGCAGCATCATCCAACCTGCTGACTGTGAGGGAACCGATCGACGTCACAGGAGGGACAGTGCTGAAAGGAGCACTGGCCCGGGCTCAGCTGCCTTCCACCTTTCACAGCTAGTTTGCAATTTAAGGACCACAAGCCATTTGCTGCAAGGTTCAGAGGCACAGCAGCCTGGAGAGACGAAGGAAGGTGACTTAGAAAGGCGCACTCGCGTGTTGCCCCATTTCAGCACGCGCTGCTCTGGACAGGATGTGTCCGGGACACTTTCTCCCCACGGGCGTGAGCCTGCGCTGGACCCGGGCTGACACGGCCCATAGGACACCTGGTCCCCGTGGGACACTCCCGAGGATCGGCCGCAGCTGCCTCTGCGCGGCCCTCGCTTAGGAGCTCGTGGGTCGAGTCCAGCGTAACTGACTAAGACGAAGAAGGGGGCAGCAGCCATTCCTTAGGGCAAAGGGGCCTCGCAAACTGAATGGCTGCTCGGGCTCCGAGTTCCAGACCACAGAGCCTGGCTCTGGCAGAGGTAAGAGGAGGACACGCAGCCCAGCCCTGGGAGCCCAGGGACCAAAGGCAAAGGCAGAGGCCAGGGGTCAGTGCACAGTGGCCACCACAGCAGCGGGACTCTGGCCGGGACCTTGCGGTCACCACTGCTGGACCTCCAGAGTGCATGGGGCCAGGGGCACCTCACAGACCTGGAGGCTGCCTTGCTTCTTCAACCTCTGGCCACAGCGGGGGAGCTTACCGTGGGGTTTCAGCGGCACCCGCCATCCAGCTGACTGGAGTCTTGGAACGGGGTGGCGTCCTCGCGCGTGGGAGCATGGCGGTGCCATCCCCGGGCCTCGGACTTCCCACAGACAGGAGGTGCTCGGTGGGGACAGCCCATGACAACCGAGCACAGTGCGTTCCCTAAGGCTGCCATAGCCGAGTACCATGACCTGGTCACCACACAACAGCACTGACCGCCTCCCAGCTCCAGGTCCAGATCAGGAGCTCGGGACCCCTGCAAGGTTCTCTGGGCTCTGGGAAGCCTTCCCGCCCTCAGCCTTGGCCAGGTCACAGCCTCCATTTCCACCAGGCCCCCTCGTCTGCCACTGTGGCTGTCTTCTTCTGAGGGTGCCAGTTGTGATGGTTGATTATGTCAACTTGAATAAAGGACACCTGCTGTACTGGCTCAGCACAGTTCTGGGTGTGGAAGACTCACCCTAGGGCAGCTTGTCATGCTATAAAGGGAAATGAAGAAGGACGACAAGGCTGTTTCTAGCTTCTTCAGAGGAGCCCAGTCTTCACCCACTCCATCGCAGAGCCTTCGGCCTCCTGATCCAGACGCGCTTGGGACACCACAGGAAGCTCCAGGCCTCGGCTGGATCCTTTGGGTCCCCAGTGGGCAGGCAGAGCCTCTGCGCTCTTCAGCCCCGACTGCGGGCGGCCACTGTAGGCCAACTGTAGTCCTTATGTATTTGCATGTCTCACATTAGCTGTTTCTCTAGTAATCACTGATGGATACACCAGTCATGTCCAAGATGGGACATGTCACCCTAAATAACTGATGACATCGGCAGTGACCTGATTTCAAGGTCATGTCCCAAGGTACAGGCGTCAAGACCTCAGCGTATTCTTCTTGGCAGACCCAAAGGAATCCATGATATGCCACCACGATCTTCCCATTTGGTGTTTGTTTTGCATTCTTCTGTTGCAGGACTGGGGATTGAACGCAGGGCCTCATGCATGCTGGACAAGTGTCCTACCCCCAAGCCACATCCCCAGCCCTTTTTAGTTTTGTTTTTTTCTTTTTTTTTGGAAGCAGGATTTTGCTAAGTTGCCCAGGCTGGGCTCAAACTTGCCATTCTCTTGCCTCATCCTCCCAAGTGCTGGGATTACAGGCATGCCACTGTGCCCAGCTAGAGCCGAGGCTTTCCACCTAGGTCAGTGGGTACAACTCACAGGGCCCGTAGACTTGGACAGGAAAGACTTGCGTCTCACTCTCATTGACCCTAACTGAACTCAGCGTACCGGCATTCATTATGTGGGCAGTTATGTGGGCAGTGGGCCAGGACTGGCAGCCTCTGAGGCTAGAGGAGGCCCCGAGACACTTCAAAACCCTGCTGGGCACCAGGTGAGAGTGTCCCGACCAGAGGAGCAGGTGCGCAATGTTCCAGCTGTTCCAGAACAAGGCAGCCTTGAACTGGTGTCTGAGGAAGTGGAAACGCCCAGTGGAAATGCAGCAACCCATTTGGCTGTGGCTACCACACAGACTATGAGAACCAGGTGGTATGAGGCGGAGAGGCCCGTGGGTGGAACTTAGAAGATCTCTACGGATTCCACCACAGTGCATCCGATTGCATTTATTTTTATGTGTCCTTCACTGTTTCCCAAATCTCAGAATTTGTGTCTTTCATCAATATAAGAACATTGTCAGAAAAGATCTTTGCAGAGCTTGTGCATCCCTCAGGCTCTGTTGTCTCTTTCTGGGGCACAGTTCTATGTATGCTCAGCCCTTTGCGACATCTCCTCACCATCATTTCCTTTGTCGTATTTTCCATCTGCTCCTTTGCCTCAAGCTCTGAGTGATTCCTTCAGCTCTGTCTTCCAGGCAGCAGTTAATCGCCCCTTTTGTTATTTGCTCTTTCTGTTGTCGTTTCTGATTGCTCCAGCCTTTTAGTTTCTGGAAGTAATGCCTTACTTTTCAGCAGAACCAGTTTTGAAAGCATGGTAACCATGCTCCTTTCCATGTTTTGAATTTCACTCGGTTTCTGTAACAAGTTTAAGCATCTCCATTTTATAACCTCGGACAATTTCTGTTCTGATTTCCTTTAGGATTTCACTCTTCTATGTGTTATTTCGGCTGACTCTCCTTCCAGGTGGCTGCAGGGGACCATAATATTGATCATGCCCAAGGTAGGCTGTGAAGAGCTAACCCCACAGTCAGCTTGTTTATAGAAGTGAGTCTGGCTGAAGCCTATGTGCTGAGGTCAGAGTAACTCGCACCCAAATTCCATTCCCACAACTACACCTTCAGACTAGAAGGACAGTGTTCTAGTCACAACCATGTATTTGGTCTGTTCTGTTCCTAATTCGAGAATGCTTTGTCTTGTCCTTCATGAGCCTTGTTTACATTAATTTCCATAGAAACCACACATAGTCCTGCCCTTGCACGGAGCTCGCCTTTACCCCAGTTGATTGCCCATAAAAGTCAGTGCCTGGGACTGGCCAGCGCCTTTGTTGGCTGCACTGGCACTGGTCGTCCTGGAACCCCGCTTTCTCTCTCTTAGTTCTGTCTTTCAGGTTTTTTTCTCAGGCCTGCATCATATACTGGGCAGGAAACTGGAACCTGACTGCAGGGGTCTTCAGCAGTGGCTCACTAGTAGTCTGAGAGTTTGAGTTCATATCTGTGGCTTTGTTCAAGGCCTCCATCCCCAGCAGAGTCACCAGCCTCCCCTGCCCGGGCTCTCAGCAGTATCACCAGCGCTGCTCAGGGTCCAGTCCTGGCTCACAGAGACACAAGGCCACTACTGCTTCTCTCATCCATGAATGAGGGGAAGAGACTTTGTTCATTTTTTAAAAATTATGCCTTTTGCATGTTTTGATTCTTACTGCATCAGAGAACTGGAATAACCTAGTTATCCACAGCAGGGGACTGGGTAAGAGGATGACAGGACATTCATTGGATAGACCTACTCAGTTGCTGAAAAGAAAATGAGGCAGATCTATAAATGCTGTGGTAAACACTAAGAAGTTATGAGGGGAAAAAACCAAGATGCAGAAGACATGCACAGTTAGCTTTTACCACTTAAAAATATGTACTAATATGCAGAGCTCAGTGTGCATAAGTAAACTGTGCTGATTTCCTAGTGAAGAATTTCTGGAAGAATGCTGTCACTGGTAACCAACTCTGGTAAGGAGATTGCGCAGCTGTGGGACATTTAAGTCATTTACTTTTTTTTTTTTAATACCGAGGATCGAACTCGGGACCTTGCGCTTGTGAGGCAGGCGCCAGAACCACTGAGCTAAATCCCCAGCCCAAATCATTTACTTTTTAAAATGAGAGGATGTTTTTTAACCTAGGGCTTTCATTCATGTTGTTGATTTGTTCAAAGGTGATGTTAGTCAGCTTTCTGTCACTGTGACCAAATATACCTGTGAGAATAAGCAAGGCTTGTTTTGGTTCACGGTTTCAGGCTATGATGGCCTGGGTGTGGCTCTGCTATACCACTGCGGCATGTCATGATGGGAGCATGGGGCCAGCTGCTCCCCTTGTGGTGGCCAGGAAGCAGAGAAAGACAAAGGGGCTGGGATCCCAATGTCTCCCTCAAAGCCACGGCCCCAGTGACCTCACTTCCTCTTCAGGCTCCGCCTCCTGAAGGTCCACCCTCTCAGTAGGGCCAAGATGGAGGCCAAGCCTTTGACACACAGATCTTTGGGGACATCCCAGGTCCAGACTACAGCAGATGAAAAGATAAGATGTAGGGAGCAGGGAAAGGGGACCCTACCAGAACCTCTGCAGTGAGTCCTGGTCTCCTGCGAGCCACGGCAGCACACGGAAAATTAACTTTTCATACAGGGAAGGTAGAAAAAATGAGACTTGGAGAAGAAGCTGAGCTTTGGGCCTGATCAGCGCTGCTCTGGGAGGCAAAGAGGACAGCCCTCGAGCTTGCCCCACCTTTTTTCAGTACATCGGGAGAAACAAGTGTAACATGACTGGAGAGCAGCAGAATTCCTAGATCAATGAGGAACTATGCAGATGAAGATTTGGTTCCTCCCAGGATGTCTCCCACTGGTGTAATCTTGTCCTGGAGAATCACAGCATCACCGGACCATTGAGGTCTCGGCTGTGACCAGAGGCCGAAATGGAATTGTCTCAAAATGCCATAGCTGGCCTGTAGGCAGGAGAACTAGGCCTAATCCAATGATTTTTCCCCAAAATTATGTAGAATTGCTCCCAACAATAAGACACAAAAAGGAAAACAAACCCAGTCTACCACTGTGTCCTGGCCTACGACCAACATAAGAACTGGGGTCAAAGTAGTATTACATCTCTGCCCCTGCCCAGCCAGCCAGCGTGTTTCCCAAGGGTCACTTAGGTCTCTAATCACTGTTCGTGCAGGCTCTTGGGAACAGGAGTTGGGACAGTGTTCTCCCTAGAAGTGGAGGAAGCTGACGCAGGGTGGGTCCCCGTCCTCAGAGGGCTCCCTGTGCTCCAAGGACAGATGCCTCAGTGGGCTCTGCCTTTGCCTCAGTTGGCCTGGGGTGTTCCGGGTCTGTCCTAGGTTGCCCTGGCCTGTCCACTTCCTTTGTCCTATTCTACCACAGCATGGCAGCCCTCCCACCAGGAGCTGGACTTCAGAGAGCTCGCCGTGCTCCACAGTCCTGCAGAGAAGCCAGTACAATGCCTGCCGTGAGGCCAGATCACCCCCTGAGCTCCTCCAGCCTGGTCAGACGCCAGGAAGCACTGTGAAGGCCCAGGGGCAGCACAGACCAAGGCTCGGCACGCGCAGGAAACGGACAGTGCCTTCTTCCTCCTCCCGCCTTCTCCCTCTTCCTCCTTCTCTTTCTCCTCTGTATCTTCCTTCTCTGCCTCCTCCTCCTCCTCTTCACCACCAGGTCCTATAGCCTGTCCTCCAGGCAAAAGGAGACAAACCCTCAAGGTCCCCTTGCTGGACGAGTGCACTGCCTGTCTTCCTGGGGACACAGGGGAGGAAGCAGACTCTCCTGTTACTTCCTCCAAAGATGCCGCTGGCTTTTGCAGTGCTGTGGCTTCTCCAGGTGAAGCACAGCTGTCGCCCTTCATCTCCTCTGTCCCCCTTCCATGAGTTGCCATCTTCGATCTCCACAGCTCTATTCCCAAGCACTTCTCAGGCACCGTTCCCACTCCGGGTCAGGCCCGGGCCCTGAGTCTGCCATGTTCTTCCTTTCTCCTGTGGGCCTAAAATCAGTTCTGCTGCCCACCGCCAGCTGGGGAACCTGAGGGGCACCTGGAGTCAGACCCTCTGCCTCTGCTCGTGGAGCTGAACAAGAGAGAGGATGCACATTGGATCCCAGCATTGCTCTGTAGGCCTGGACCCCACGGGCCCCAGCAAGCCAGGTGGCCCCCAGCCCCCGGGTCACAGCCAGGACCTGAGAGATGAAGGGGATGTGCTCGGCTGGGGCCAGGTCCTGGTGCAGGGCTGCGGGTGCTCTCTGGTCTGTGGGCTGGGCAGGGCTGACGGCGCTGGACAGGGTGGGCTTGGCCTGCCTGCTGTTCCCCTTGGTGGCAGCGCCTGTAATTTCCGGATATAGTATTTAATCTGCACCTTGACACGCACCTGCACCTTAAAATGCTTAACTGTTACATTCTTCTAAGACGTCACAGGGAGATTTTCCAGCCAGGAAGGGCAGAGCGTGGGGCTGAAGGCACAGGGGCACAGGGTGGCCTGGTCAGGACTGGGGAGAGAACTTGGGAGCAGCAAGGGGCTGGGGAGGAGGCCAGGCCGAGGGCTTCCAGGACAACAGCTGGCCACTCCTTCCCGCTAATCCCCAAGCACAGCAGCAGGAAGCCCTACAAGTGTGCACACAGCGGGCTGCAGCTGCCTCCCAGCCCCACGGCACCCAGCAGCAGCCTGTCACAGCCCCCAGACTGCGGGCAGGCAGGGGACAAGCAGGCCCCACACACCCACCCAGCTGCCTTCTGGGCTCAGGGTCCCCAGGCCCCTGGGATGTGCTCTGGACATGGCAGGCAGGAGCAGCTGCTCCCTGTGCCAGCCCCACGGCGGCAGCCTGGGACACAGCCTGGCAGCCGGGCGGCCTGGGGTCCTGGGGACAAGCAGGGAGAGGAGGCGGGAGAGGCCTTGTGCCCAGGCCGGACCTGGTGTGCAGGCTGGGGCTCCGGCCCCTGGTGGGGTCTTCTGCATCAGAGCGAATGGGGTGGCTCTGGTGGTGAGCACAGGCCTTGTGTGGCTCTGCTCTCCACCAGGGTGGCCTGGCCTCAGAGCTCTCCTGTGTGTGACAGGGCCACTCGGAGCCACCGCTCAGCTGCAGAGCTGGGGACAGGG